TTCAGCAGGGGACTTGTTAATGCAGAAAAGCCTCCTGCACCTCAAGTAATTAAACTGATGAAAGTACAGTGTGCACTCTCTTTCTCAGATCTGGGCCTGCAGCCCAGACTGGGCTACAGCTTCTTTTGCATCAGGTCTATAGCATTTTAATGGGGCAATAGAAGCAGGAGGAGAGGAGTAAGGTCTCCACCCCTCAATCCAGCACTGACAGGATGGGAGATCTAATGCTTTGTTCTTACTCAGCATCATCCACTACACATCTCAGAACAGCTATTAATATTAGGCAGTCTTCACAATCTTCCAAAAAGCAGAAAGGAATTTATTTGTGTCAGAAAAGAGAGAAAATCAGATCTATTTTACTTTTCCTTTAGATATTCTGAAAGCTGGAGACAGCTAGGACAAGAACCCAAAATCCCCAGAGCATGTACCTCTGCCAGGCTTAGCAAACTGACTGAACATGTCCTCAGTCCCTCATCACTTGTGTGGAGGGGCTGCATCACCCCACTCCTAGATTCATGCAGGCTGCCTATGTGCATGGGATTGGGTCTTGCTTTCGAAGGGGGATCCTGAGATCAACAGAGATTTTCATGTACTAAGTGGGCCATGCTGTACATGAGACAAGACAGATGGGAGCAAGGCACAGACAAAGCTTCATCCTTGTCCATATCACAGAGGTATTTTTTTGGCTAGCCTACTTAGCAACAGTTTATTTTATGGTGCTTACATGTATCCAAGCCCCTCCCTAATCTTCCATTTGCAAGCAACACGGGAGCAATACCAATTCCAGTTGTTAGCCTGACTAAGGAAACTGGATTTTTCCCCTCTCTCTGTATGAACCCATTAGATGCAACTCTTCCTGTCTCTGCCCTCAGAACCAGCTCATTTAAAATCCATCATTTCTTAATGAGGCAAGCACACATAACTTTCTATTTCCAGTGACCACCCATTTGATGTTCCCAGCAGCTCCAAGCAAAGCAATACTCCATCCTGTTGCTAGAAACAGCCTACAGGAGGGTGGCACTCTCAAGCCTAGCATGCACGGCCAGTCAAGTATGTCCTGCCACCATGACACCACTCACTCGATGCCTACTGACCCCAAATCTACTGGAAGGAAATGGAGACAAGAGATCTCTGAGCTCTCATATCCCTGTGAAAGACACAGTCCCTGCAGCTGATCTGCGAACATTATTTCTAAAGTCTGGTCACAGCCTCCTGCAGTCATCATTTTACAATATAAAGTTTAGTTTATGGACAACTTTTTTGAGAGCTATTTCCCCCAAAACCCAATACTGGCTACCATTCAAAGCCAAAAATTTTGAAGTAGGCAAACCACTGTCCAATTCCCAACACCTAAAATGGCCTATTCACCCTCCAGCACATGGAGAGTATCTGGCTTTTCAAAAAAACTAGCTCTGCGGAGAACACTCATTGCCCTAATTCTCATCTGTTGCATCAACCATTGGAAGAAACTTGATGGCATGGAGATGGGTGGTGATATAAGCAGCCCTCAAAGACAAAACCACATCCCTAGAGGGGAAAAGGAGCTAGAGAAACAGAGCCCATCCATTCTTGCTGCTTCCTGCATCCCAGCATCCTCTCAGCTGTAAGCCTGGTGAGCTTGGAAACAAGTTCTTAGATTGTGAAGTGCTGAACAGAGTTTACAGATCTGGTTCCCTAGCAGACACACAAAAAATGGATAACCTAATTTCACCTGTTACTGCAAGAGCTCATATCACTTGTGTTCCTTAACTGTAACCCTTTAGCACCAAGACTAGAACGTGAAAGCAGGGGAAGTACTTCACAATAAGATCAAAACTTGAGACTGAACTTCTGTATTTCTCTCTCCTCAGGCACTGGAGTCTTGCTTGCAAACTTCTTTCTTGCATTTCCCTCACCTCTCCTGGCCAAATTGGCCCTTTCAGCCAGGAAATTAAGTAGTGTGTGTTCTGATTAATCTGAAATATGTTTTCAGCCTTCACCCAGGCTCAGGACAAAGTCAGAGGAGAGGAAGGAAATCTGAAAAGGAAGGAAAAGTCTAGTGGGGTTAGAATAGGAACTGTAATCAGGGTTCAAGATTTGTTCTGGTTGTTGCCACAGATGCCTATAACTCTTCACTGCACAATGGATGTTACATGACATCCCTCTCCAGAGGTCCTCATGGAAAACCATATGGATTGTCTGCGCATTATAAAATAGCATGTGCTTGCACTTGAAATTACCTTTCCAAGGATGTAAGTCCTTGCTAAAAAAGCCTGAGAAGAAAAAATTAACAGAGGAAATTCAGATACAAAAATAGTAGAGTGATGGGAATATTCTCATAACCTGCCAATGGAGTGACACACCAAATGTTTGTGGTGTCTTTTGTTCACAGGATGCCAAAGAAACGGGGAGACACTTTTCCAGCTGAGGTGCAACATGGATAGCAACAATCACAAGAATTAAAATGTTTCAGTATTGCACACGCACACAAGGCCAGGAACATGCTTGGAAATCCACATCTTACCCTACACAAGCAACAAGCTGTACAAGCATTTGCTAACTCTTGAAAACTCTTTGGCATCAAGAGTCTCTTTTTGGACAGCTACCGTTCTGTCCAATAATGCCTTTTGGTGTGGAAGACTATACCCAAATGTAGTTTGTTCTGGTTCAAAGCCTCACTTCTGCCTGTCTCACTTAACCTCCTCCCACCTCGTAGAATCACAGAATGTTAGGGGTTGGAGGTGACTTCTAGACATTATCAAATCCAACTTCCCCGCCAAAGCAGAATCACCTAGGGCAGATCCCATAGAAATGCATCCAGATGGGTCTTGAAAGTCTCCAGAGAAGGAGACTCCAAAACCTCTCTGGGCAGCCTGTTCTAGTGCTCCATAACCATTAGTCAATAGGGTTTTCCTCACGCTGAGGAGGAACTTCCTGTGTTCCAGTTTGTCAGTTGCCCCTTGTCTGTCACAGGGCACCACCAAGAAGAGACTGGCCCCTTCTTCTTGACACCCATCCTTCAGATATTTGTAAACATTATCAATAAGATCCCCTCTCAGACTTTTCCAGGTCTCTCAGTACCTCAAAGTATTTGGACTCTTCTAAATTTAACTCCTCATCTTTTCACCATGTATCCAGTCTGCCTCTTCAGGGCCAACCATCTCCCTCCCAGGGGACTTGCACAGTGCCCATCTGAACAGCAAGGCCTCAGAAGAAGAGGGTGCTGCTGGAGCGCCAGGGCAGGGCAGAGTTCCACAGACGCTCTCCCGCACTTCTAGTTACAGCCTGGCTTTGCTTCCTGCGAGACCACTGCCGGGGACCCCTCCTCATGCCGAGGGATCGCTCCCTAGCTGGGCCGTCCTCTTCCAAGAGAGGCAGACGAGCGGGATGCCACCGTTTGCCCCCAGGGGACGGCCCGGGCGCTCCCGCCGGGACC